AACTGGGCCTTTGTACTGTGCGAAATCAATGGATCATGCGAGAATAAATTTCTGGACAACCCTATTCTAAGAATTCCAGTTGAGTGTGTCAATGTGGCCAGCTCAGGGTAATATGATATCATATACAACAGTAAACATCAGGTCTCTTCTGTTTATATCTTCAAAGCAAAGAAAACACGCTTTCATAACAGTACAGCTAGAAACCGCTCGCCAGAACCACAGGAACTTTGCTGCAAGACAGGCATATGTAACGATGACTTGGCACAGATAAAGTCGTGTCTTATTTATACTCTGTTCTACTGACAACAGGCCAGCGAAAAATCTAACAATCTACAGCAAAACCATCAATTATTATGGGCGTTATAACATAGGTGTGCAGCTGAACGAAACATACACGTCGAACCCCCCCAGACGATTTAAATCCCTGACGAATCATACACGACGAACCACGGCAACGGGTTAATCAGATCATGTTCATCCAAGAAGCTGGAAGGCAAGATTACTTCACTTGGAACACCCATGCTTGTATTCTGGAGTTTGTGAAACAGTTTGCAGACAGAGTATATGCAGAAGCTGTCTCTTCCTGCATTCATGTGCAGACCAGGGCGCTCATTCAGTTGCCACAAAACGCTTTCAACCGCTTTGATATCTCCTGGTCGCATATACAAATGCAGGAGGTTTGTTTTGTCTCCGTCCTCTCCCATTAGAAATAATCTGATGTTGCCAAGCATTTCCAGATGATCTGACTCACTCCCAAAATCATCTGCAGGCAATGCAATCAAATGAATTCCTGTTGCAGGTTTAGTTTCCAGATAAGCATAGCCAAGAGGAATCTGATTGGGGTTAATGAATGTATGCAAAGACTTCCTAACACCGTCCACAAAACTGAATTCAGCAAGAGCAATTTCACAGCCCAGGTACCTGCCACTGCTATCCTTGCAGTAGTAGTTGACGTGCACCAGATGGAACAGGTGGGTTTTCAGTGAGTTCTGGTGTTTGAGCACGCGCACTGTTTCTTCTATCTCCTGTGTCATCCTGGTCTGTCCGTTAGCCCTGTTCAGCAGTCACTCAAGCCATGCGCAGTATCTCCTCTGTGGCCAAAAGTCATTCTTAGAATCCACATGGCTCAGACTGTGCTCCTTGTTTCGGGCCTGTTCCTCATACGCCCATCTCTCCTCCGGTTTCATGTGCTCCCACAAGGCTGCCATCTCACTGATGAAGGCAGTGCCCCTTTCTTGCACCTTCTTCTGTACATTCAGGAGGAAGAAATGAAATCCATCCTCCGGACTTTCCTTCTTTGTTTGCTGCATGTTGTCCATAGTCATCACTTATATCTGAGAACTGAGAAATAAAAACAAATTTTGTCAGATTATTCTGAAGGCACATGAGAACCTGAAAGCTAGAGATCAAACTCAACTATAGGAATGACTCATATCTGTGATAGAGTGTAAGAGCAGACAGGTGGAGACGAATCACTCTGCATACCTCTACTAGTGAGCATTCCTGGCTAATGTACCATATTAATTAACTGTAATTACCAATTCTCAAAATTGGATCATAAGTACAAAAATATCAGAAAAGTTGATTACCTATGATTCTAAGGAAATATGCCTATTATTCTACCATGTCTGTTTCTTCCGGTCATTCTATTTCTATACACATTAATTGCAGTGCACAGGCTCCTTCTTGGGAAGCTGACAAGAAACGTTCCCACATTTATGGAAGCCGAGAATTCATGACTGTGCCCAACACAGCTGAACACCAGGGGCTAGTTTCACATATGAAATCCCTTATCAATTTGTTTTACCTGAATACGCTGTATGTGCGACCCTCTTAAATCTCCTTCGTTAAATCACATCCGTAATTCCAGGCGAACAACACAATTCATAAAGTTTTCTTTTTTATACAAATTTTATACATACATATACTGATTATGTCAAGACAGATATACTCGTATATAATGTAAGCTATTGAGATGGCTTCAGATGGTATGATATATACATGCACCAAGTTTCATGAAGATTGGTCCAGACGTTAGAGAAATATTAAGGGTTAGCGGCCTCCGTAGTCTAGGGGTAACGTTCTCACCTCGTGACTCAAAGTACGCAGGTTCAAACTCGGCAGAGGTCGTGGAATTTTTAAGGGCGGAAAAATACAGGGAACAAGTCCTCCAGGAGGGACTTTAAGCCGTGGGTCCCATGTCATAGCTTTACAGCACGTAAAAGAACCTCATGTCTCAAGGGGACCACTGAGCCAAATTCAGGACATTTCGCGCCCAACAGTAGTCTCTAACGCCTCTAGTAGATGGGGGAAGCATCGAGTACCGCTGACCCAGTAGAGGCCAAACTCGCTGGCTGAGTCGGGACTCATGGCACGCACCAGTATTGGTAGGGAATTGAGACTGGTAGAATATCATAGGGGGACGCACAATGGACCAACAGTTGGTCTAAGTGCATGGGGAAACCCCACCCTCTCCAATACAATACAATACAATAATATTAAGGGTTCTTCTCAGAACTCTGAGAAACTGAAATGTTGGTATTAATGATGTGAGGATTTATGATGTTGTACGTAGCTGAGATTGCTTCGTAAGACATGACATACTTTTGAAGTTTCGAGAAGACTCATATACGTCTTCAAGAAATATTAAGGTTTGGTCTCAGATATTTCAGAGGCTCTAATGTTGGTATTACTGGTGTGAAGGATTCATGAATTGCACCGTTGAAACCGATTCAGGTGGCAGGATATATGTACTAAGTTTCATACAAGACTGGCTGAGCCATTAAAAAGTTAATAGGGTGGGGGGGTACACATACAGACACACAGCAAGGTGACCTCATACAACTACTTTTATCTTTTAAAAACAAGGTAGTAGGCTAACAATTTCAGAAATCCCGAATGCTACGCGCCATCATTACAACCCTTTAGAGTCGGTCCGACAGTACAGTTAAACAAGAAACGGAAGTCGCGCTGTAACCTAGGTAAAACGGTTAAGCAAAAATATATCCAAACCGAAATAATGTTATGAAAGCAATGCATTGGTTGTAATCAAGAATGAGAACAGACGGAGCAGACTCGTGCAGCCAGAACGCTCTAAACCTGTATGTTGGAGGTGTTGGGTTCAAAACTCCACCTCGACACCAGCTGTCCAGACTGAAGTATTTCATATTTTTTCTCAGTCCTTATAGGCAAATGCCATGACAGTATCTTGATCAGAGAAAAGACTGTTTACTTCCTAATCCTTTCCAATTGATAATTCATTAGTCATTCAAATCACTTGACCCTATAACCTACAGTCTGAAATCCTGATGGCATCGTAAAACAAGCCACATAAAACAATAAAGTGCACATACGAAATTCTGTATATGAGCCCACTACTTATAGCTAACTTGATCCAGCAGAACCCAGTCCACATCCTCACACCCTGTTTCTTTAAGGTTAATGTCAATATCTTCATGTATTACTGTCTAGACATGGGGTTTGGTATGAGCATTGAATGTACTGGACATCTGATATTCATATCTACAAATAATTGCAACACTTTCAGTATTCTACACAGTCTAGAATTAACTACAGCCTTAAATATCTGTTGTATTCTCACCTCACTATATCTCATAATGGCTTGCAGAAATGATGATTCAGCTTGTTGCTTCAGTCCGTCTCTCCGTGCTGGCTAACCACTGGCTTCTGTCAACACCACTACCACAGCAGCACCTCTACTCTTGCATCACAGCGGGAAAGTGTTTACTGGCAGAAGGAGATGTCCGGTCACGGTGGCTGCAGACCCTGTGTCCTCCATGCAGACCCAGAGACCCTATTGAAGTGAACTTGATGCGTGCTGCTTTCAAGCAGAAAGGAACAACTGTGTGACATTCTGGCACCATGTCACAATCTTCTAATCCCAGTGATGCAGAGCTTATATTCAGTTGGCCTCAGGAGGTGGGCTGGCACCGCCCGTAGCATAATACATTGCACTAAATCAGAATCCCTTGCAACTGGGTCATATTATTTTGTACACCATAGATTTCTCTGTTTGTGTTGAGTGTCTGAATGTTTAATGTATGTATCATATTTGTTCTTGTCATAATTTAATACCCAAACTTTCATGCTTTTCCTGTTAACAGTAGCCTGTAATAACATGTGTGTGTCTAAGTATTAAATTATAAAGTATTGAATATGTCAATTTCATTGTCATCACTAAAGCGTTTATCTTCTTTGAGCATTTATAACGTGTAACATACCCCTTGCATGGAATATTTGTGGAAACCTGAAGTCTTCTCAACTGTTTACGTATTTCTTTCGATTGTCAACTTCACAAAAATCGAGCAAGATAAGAAGCTGAGCATTGCCAGTTTTGTATGTATTTCTCATCAGTTCTGAGAGTGCTATGTGTCCAACCCATGAGCTCTTCCTTGCCGTAATCATCCTAGTAATATTTCTTGTGGAGTAAAAATTATGGGAATCCCATCATCCTGTACAGTGCCTTTTCCATCCCCTTGTTACTTTCTCCTCAGAGCTCCAAATATTCATCTTAGCACCATTTTCAATAGCCTTCAGTCTGGAAGATTCTAAATGGTTCTGACAATGGTGCATGTAACTCAGGACTGCCAGCTTTTTGGATTTTGCAATCCTGCAGTGAAGGCAACACCACACACTGCTAGAGGGAACAATGCACAAGCAAGGGGCAAAATTACAGATTGCAGACATAACACAACAGTGGGCTTACGAATAGTAAAACACACTGCCACAATAAAATATCTGAAGTAAAGGATACAGATCAAAACAAGTGGATGACACCCCATGCATAGTGTAATAAGAATTTTACAAAATCTAAAGGAAATTTTAATTAAAAAAATATAACAAATTTTATTTATTTAAATTAAGTGTACTAAAGCGTGTGCTATTTTAGCGCATTCCAATTGAATACAAGTATGACATTTTGCATAATAAAGCATGCAGTCACGTATGCAACAAATGGACAATATTACTGCAGTGTAGCAGTTTTAGCATAGTAAGACACCTGAAGATGGCCATTTAGGGCAGAAACATGTTGTGTCAAAAGTGAAGGTGGTAGAAAGAAGGAACAATTTTTTGCAACGTTGACAGACTGTGTAGTACAATAAACAGTTTTATGTCTTTCATTACATTTACCTTGTCAAGGAATTTCTTACTGCTCCTGGGTCTTGACATACTATGCCTCGCTTGTAATTTCAAAATCCATGTTATCAGGAATATCTTTATACAGGTGGACTAGTATGTGGCTATCAACAGATACATGAATGATGGATTTGTCTTTTTATGTCGTTTAACAGTTGCAGCAATGTCTACAGAATAATTTCACCTGCTGAATTATTCATTATACAATACATGATGCAGCAATTTCTTGTTGAGTGTAAAGAAGTTTAATAAAATGCATTAATACATGTATCTAATGCCTGGAAAATGCTATTTAACAGTTATTAACTGTAAGCACAGATCTATGAACATTAGTGCAAAGCATAAGAACCTGTATGTGCATTAACAAGTTCTAGTGGTTCCTCATAACAGAACATTGCAAATGCTATTTGAGTGAAATAAGTAAGCAAGAAACTTAAAGGTAAAAAAAGTAAAGCTCTCCTTGTAACAGGCCATGGAGGCTCATAGGTTTGTGAGACGTTTAGGATCCCACATTATCTAGACCATCGGCTCACAGATGGCAGTAAGGTTGTCAGCCATACGTGTCGGCCGCCCTTTACTTCCCAGGAAGATTCCTGGTACTAATTTCTGTTAGAGGCTGAGTTGACCCCAGGGCCACAGTGCGGCTGGAAGAATTAGGTAAATTGAAAAAAATCCACCTTATCAGGACCTGAACCCACAACCTTCTGGCTTGTAGCATAGTGCCTCTACCAACTATGCTACCATGTGCTCCCAAACAAGAGACTTGTATAAATTAAATTCCAAATCCAGGATTGCCATGGCAAAAGCTGCATTTAGCAAGAAGAAGAATCTTCTTACCAGCAAATTGGACTTAAATTTGAAGAAGAAACTAGTGAAATGCTACATTTGGAGCATAGCTCTGTATGGGGCTGAAACATGGACACTTAGGGCAGTAGATCAGAAACATCTGGAAAGTTTCGAAATGTGGTGTTGGAGAAGAATGGAGAAGATCAGTTGGACCGATTATGTGAGAAATGAAGAAGTGTTAATTAGAGTCAGTGAGCAGAGGAATATCCTACATGAAATAAGAAAACGGAAGGCTAATTGGATTGGTCATGTTTTACACAGAAACTGCCTTCTAAAAGAAGTTATTTAAGAAAAGATAGAGGGGCGGATAGAAGTGACAAGAAGACGAGGAAGAAGACGTAAGAAGATGCTGGATGACCTTGGGGACAGAAGAGGATACTCTCATTTGAAGGAGAAAGCTCTAGATCGCATTAAGTGGAGGAATTGTTCTGGAAGAGACTGTGGACCTGTCGTCTGACAGATTACTGATGATGATGATGATGCAGAAGAGAAGTTGGCTGTCAAAAAACGCCGCCCCCAATTAATGTAAAGGGTAGTTTAAATGCTGGAGATATGATGGAAAATATGGAAGTGATAAATTGTGTGGTGGTGACAATGTCTGAGAGAATAAGCTAATGGCACATCTTCCAAATGCAGTGCTTCAATTCAGGTCCCTTCAGAGAAGAAATAGTGTTTTACCAGGGGGTTCTGAAGAACATAACTCCATTCTGGTGAAAATACGGTATAGGCATCTCAAGAAATAAAACTTGGTGGTACTGAAGTGCAAAAGTATTATGTGTGTTGTAAAGTGATCAGTCTGAAAGAGTGCTTTGAAAACTTAAATGCTACCCCCATTTCAATTGAAGCCTTCCTACTGTGGAGACAGGGGAACTGGTTGAGACAAATTTTCAGATATTTGGTAGAATTAAAAAAAGTAAATCTGTGAAGCAGGATTTTATCCAGATTTTCTTAAATGCTTATATAATATTTTGGGACCACCTCTGTGGTCTAGTGGTCAGAGTTCCTGGCTACAGATACAAAGGTCCTGGGTTCGATTCCCGACGCTATCAGATTTTCTGGGAAGTAGTGGGTCTGGAACAGGGACCACTCAGCCTTGTGAGGATAACTGAAGAGCTATTTCAAGGAAATATCAGCTACAGTCTAGAAAACCGAGGTTAAAGGCCCGTTGGATCCATTGCGCTGACCACGTGACACCCTTTATCCATAAAAGTTGGCACTAATTTCACTGACAAGTGGCGGTTGCTCAGTCGGTATAGTTAGCTTGTGGACTACAGGCCACGGAGTTTTTTACATATAATATTTTGTATTTCAAAAATTTTCTTTTAAAACCATGTATATCTGAAATTGTCTGCTGGACACAGAAAGCATTTTTAACCAAAAATAAGTAGAACATCCTACTGTGGTATTTACTGGTCCTATTGCTAAGGGCACAATCATGAACACTAAATTTATGTGATATTTAAACATTGGCAAATGACATTCACTTAGAAGTAAAATATGTAAAAATACTATTCTGTGATAAAATTTGGACATGGTCCTACAGGTATTTTAAAGAAAGTCAATTATTTTTTATTTGTTTCATTCTGGTCCGTCATACTAATAATATCATGAAATGTTAAACAGTTCTGTCTAGTGTGACTGGTGAAGATTTCTCTCATTTCAATTATTTATGCCTTTACATGTTTCGGTCTTCAGAGGGACACCTTCACATACCTTTATATACTGTAGCTTCTAACTGTATTGATGTAAAGGTGTCCCTCTGATGATGGTCTCCGAAGACCGAAACATGTAAGGGCATAAATAATTGAAGTAAGAAAAATCTTCACCAGTCACACTGGATGGAACTGTAACTTTTCATGATCAATTATTTTTATTTCTATTAGTACTTGCCTCACCTCTGTATAAACTCACAAGCCATCACTCTTGAAATGAATATGCAAAACTCTGTCTTAATTTTCCAAATAAACTGGAATGTGGACAGAGAGATAACCAGATCAATGGATAGATTCCAAAAAGTAATATTTTGTCCATATGTGGTTTCACTTCAACTAAGAATAAGGGAAAAAGTCCACACCATAGCTCAAGCTGTTAGTCGCTGGCTTCTCACTGCAGCGGCCCAGGTTCAAACCCGAGTCTGGTCAAGTGGGATTTGTGGTTGACAAAGTGGCGCTGGGGTAGGTTTTCTCCGAGTACTTCGGTTTCCCCTGCCAAACTCCATTCCACAAAATTCTCCATCATCATAATCGCTCGAGGCCACAGTGCCAAGTGGACACAACTGGACTCCACCCCCCACTATGAGCAAATAAGAATAAGGGAAGATATAACTACAATCTGATCATGTACAAGAAGGGAATACCTAAATACAAGAAAGTAGCAATAACGGGAAAACCTTTGTTATATTAATAACACGGTTAAAGTTCCCACTTACTATATGAGCCAACATGTTCATATGCTGATTCTTAACAGAGAGAAGAATTGATGTACAATACAGGCATGGGACTTATTGTGGGCTCCTGTTCTGAAAAAAGGCTTCTTTGCTGTATAATCATGCAAAAACTGTAATGGTGACAACAGGACTGGTATCATTGTAGGAAAAGGTTGGATGGAATACAAAATAGTATAGATGTTGGTTAAAATGCAGAGAAAGCAAAGTGCTATAAATAGCATTCTATTTCAAGAATGTTTCTGATAGGAGACTTGTAATAACAGTAAACACAATGTACAAGCTTTTTTGATTCTGATTTCACTACAAATCCGAATCTCAGAACTGACAGGACAGGAGAAATATCTGCCTCTGCCTGAGAGGTTCAACAATTTGCAGCCAGCTTCAGATGAACAAACTTCACATATATTCAATGAGTTAAAAAATTTTAAGTATGACTCACAGAATGCGCTTTCATGCTGTTTTTAGAAATAAAACTAACTAAATGAGTAATTTCTGATTTGTTTAATTCAAGACTAACGTTGCAATTGCAGACATGTAGAAATCATTTTTTAACATTAATAATGCTACACAGAACGTATGAGAGAGATTAGAAATGCAATAAAAATATTAGTCCAGAAAACCTGAAGAAGAGACACCACTTAAGAGACACAGGCATAAATAGGAGGGTAATATTAAAATGGATCTTAAGGAAAGAGAAAGGATATTAAGTCCTGTAACTGAGGCTAGCTCCTTTTAACAAACTTGGCTGAGTATGATTCTTTGCCCCCTTAGGCTGGGGCCACATGAGCACACAAAATGCATCCGTTGTAACGAACGTATTTTATGATGGACATTGCTGAGGACACCACACAGTTGCAGAATGCGGTGCATAGTTTCTGTCTGCAATGGAGCCAGAAGAAAGGGTAGCATTCGCCTCTCTTGTTTATTTCTACAACGGGCGTCATGACGTTCGTTACAACGGACACATTTTGTGCACTCGTGTGGACCCAGCCTTACACTTGATGATAGAAACATATCCAGTATCTGAAATATTATTTATTTCAAATGTAAATCAGATAGGACATGATGCCTAATATAATATTTACTGTAACAAATAAACCAGTGACAAAAACCTTTAGAGAATGAGGATTTGCCATGATTGGTTAATTTGTCTTCTCTTATATCTGTACAGAAGCGGGAAGCAAGCTGAGGCATGTGGAAGTTCAAACTACTATCTGTTGTATGCACATGCTACAGAGTGATAAGTCAACTCACAACAGTAACACACTCACCTCTCCAGCTTGACTTCGTGGGACAGGTCACAGTCCGATTTGAGATGAGGTACGCATTGAGTGTTGTCAGGCTTGGAGACTTCCGCAGCGTGTCCTCATCATTCTTCCATACATACGTGATGGCAGTCTGCTCATATGAAACTGATTTTAAACAAAACTGCGTTTTAGGTCCTCATTACATTGGGATGGAATATGAATTAAATCAGATTAGGCTTTCATATTATTTAACCAGAAAATAAACATTATTGCAATGCAGTGCTGGATTTAGGCTCAAGCTGGGTAAGCAATTTAGTGACTCACATTATGAGAGGCCTCCAAATATATCAGAGATAACTAAGATTTACTAGAATTGAAAATGTTTTGATATAAATAATCTCTCATGTAGAATCCATTGTAAAAATTCTGAACCATGCCCACCCCATCACAATGCACACCCACTCCCACAAACTTCATTCCAGGACCACTGGAATATTTGTATCATCTACAGGCTGACCAACATCACCTCAAACCTCAAGAGGAGATAATGGGAGCTAGCCTACCAACATATTGGAGTCCCATTTCATATCAGGCACCATCTCTGCGGATCTAGACTAGATTGCGGAGACTAGATTGCATTTTGCAATGTCATTTTGCTGACGAATTCAATATCCAGTCCGGTTTCCAGACAATGGATCTGTGAAATTATGTATGTATGTATGTATCTCCTCCTCATTACCCTTGCACCCTAGTCACTTAATGTATCACCATACAGGCCCAGGGCCAGAGGTAAATTTATTTGATCTGAAGGCTATATAAAGACAACTTAAAAATGTTGAGGATGTGAGAGATACCTACCAACACATCCACTCAGTCTTCCGTGTATTTCCTCTCTAGTGCACCCAAGAGCATTTACATCTATATAGTTGTATTATCCAATAATCAAGCATTTTTCCCCCTTTCTCCTAAATTTGAGTACACCCTCTATAATGGATACAATTTCAATTATGCCTCTTCTCAACTGGACCACCAGCTACAGCTCAGTCGACATGTGTAACCAAGCAGCGATCAAATCTTCTGACGATGAAATATCGACATAATTTCTTATTCTTTGATGTCTGCTTCATGGTCCTGCTCTGGACAGTGTTCCATTCCTTCTCATCTATCACGATTTTTATATCATCACGTGTTGGTGACTAGACACGGGGTTTAGACTGTTAATTTGATTTATTGAATAATTATAACTTGTAACTACAAACAACTGTAACAGGCTCACTGATTTTACACTCTATAGAGATCACTGCAACTACAGCACACATAAAAGTCTTCTATTTCTTCACTGGTCATTGCTAGGTAGTGGCTACTAACAATGCAACTCAAGACATACTGGACTGACTGTCACATTGCTGCTGGCCCTAGCCAGCACAGTGTTTCTTGGTTCAGAGTCCCATGGGACTCGTGGTCATATTTTACGGTCTCACAGCTCCGGGAGCCTTCAGAACTCACTGGGCTGCTGCTGAATCCTCATTATATACCCTAGGGATGGATCATTTTTTGTTCCAAGTCCTGTGGGACTCATGAAGGCTTAAACTTGGTGGTAATCAGGTCTACCACCGTTTAAGTGACTAACTGCTGGTTCAAAGTAGTAAAATAAGTTAAGGTATAACATACTGCAGAAGCCAGCATTGTGAGATGTCCTATTTATATCTTACATAAATATTATTCACTTATTAAAGTGACAAACCGTGTATGGTGTCCATAAAGTACAAATGTCCTTACCTGGATGCTGTATGTGTGTGGGTATACTGGTGAGAAATTACGGTGCAGCAAATGTGGCAGATACTCAGAAATACAAACCCCTCCTCTTGTCAAAGAGGATGTACCACTTCAAAACATATAAACAGTCTTGGGGTCATGGGTCCTGAGGGTGCCCGACACCAAGAACGTCTTTGCTGGCAAGGGCCAGCAGTAATTTACTGAACTGGACAGGAATAGAAAAAACTGCTTCTAACAGTTCCTCTATTGTGTGTGTTTATTCACAGAAATATGTTTACCATGTTGTTGCCTAGCAACAGCCACCTCTTCATGTTCAACTATTCCAGCTTTCAGCCGTCATGTCACAATATGTTTCATATAGAAAATGATTTAGAAATACGTAGGATTGAGTTCAAAAGAGTTTGTCTAATGTTCATTTCTCCTATTTTTTAGAGGACATTAACATTGAACAGCATTATTAACAGTGGTCATCAGAAGAGAAAAAGTAGCAGCAGCTTCAAGATCAACGAAAAAATTACTGAAACTTGACAGTTCCTTCATTACAGCAACAGAGGGGGGATCTTATACTTAAAACAGTCAACCAACCCCATAACAACAACAATCATCCACTTCTTCTACTGGAATAGTTTATACAGATACGAATCAGAATGTGGCCAGTTCACTTGAGAATGTTACAGATCTTGAAACTGCAGCTTGAGTAAATAAATATGTAAAGCAGAACGACCTTCATTTCTGTGATGTTTGACTCGCATTAAAATTTTACTTTGGTTACAGAAAGGTACCTCAAGAGTGTCAGCACTGGAATAAGTATGTATGTATGTATGTATGTATGTATGTATGTATGTATGAAGGGGTAGGCCTACTCGGCCCTTGCACTTAGACCTCAGAAGTCCATTGTGCTTCCCCTTTTTTAATTATTCCCTCAGCAACCCCACGTTTCGGATGAAGCGCAGGATTTTGGACGTGGGGGCGTCGAAATAGTCACTTGGTTCCATAAAGTACTGACCAAAGTGACGTAGTCTTAAAGAAGCTAAAGCCTCACATTCACACAGGACGTGTGTGGCTGTTTCATTTTCTATCTGACACCTCTCACAAGTGGGACTATCACTTAGTCCCAGTTTGAACAGGTGTCCTTTGAGGTGACAGTGTCCTGTAAGTAGTCCTACCACCCATCGTAGCTGTTTCCTGTTGAGCTTCAACAGTTCCTTCACTCTTTTATCAGAAAGTCCTCGTATGAGTCTCTTAGCTTGACTGAGTCCAGTTAAGGATTCCCAGTATTTCTTATGTTAGTTAGTATGTTTGTCTAGTACCTGATTGCCTTTCTGGCAACTCCTACAGAGATGCCGCAGGCTGGTTCAGGTCCTATGAACGGGTGTTCAGCTCCAATTTTAGCTAATTGGTCTGCTGCTTCATTTCCAGCAATACCCTCATGCCCTGGTACCCATATCAGTTGTACCCTGTTATGTTTGGCCAGTTCCATGAGGGTTTGGTGGCAATCCCAGGCCAATTTTGAATTAATCTGGTGTTTGTCAAGTGCTTTGAGTGCTGCTTGGCTGTCAGATAGAATGTAGATGTTCCTATTTCTATAGTTCCTATCTAAATTCTCCATAATACATGCTTTAATGGCATATAGTTCTGCCTGGAATACTGTCATGTACCGCCCAAGGCTGAAACTAAGTTTCCGCCTCGTACCATGGCAGTACACACCAGCTCCAGTGCCTCTATGTGTCTTGGAACCATCTGTATACCAGATCAGTCCCCCTTTTCTGTCAGGCTGAAACCCGTCTTCCCATTCACTCCTTTCAGGAAATCTGACTGTGAAGGGTTTTTCATATACATGTCTCAGTATCATTTCGTCAGACCCCATTTGTAATATGGGTTCTGTTTTCATGTCCCGAGTCATGTCTGCATGGCCGAAACCATCAGATCTAGGTTTCCATTGTCCACAGCACTGGAGACGGTAAATTCCTGCCTTGGCCTCCGCATCCAACTGTATATGCAGTGGGGGGAGTCCAAGGAGTAACTCCAGTGCAGCTGTTGGAGATGTTCGAAATGCTCCTGTAATACCTAAGCAAGCCAACCTTACTGGAATAAGTACTAGTTTGGTTGTGGTAGTACTGCAGCAGCAGCTGCAGTAATAGTGACAGTGATTGTGATGATGGTTGTAGTTGTAGTTGTAGTAGTAGTAGCAGTAGTAGTAGCAGTATTAGTAGTAGTAAACAAAGAACTGAACTGGGGAGATCTTTATTTATTAGCGTGCTGAACTCACTGGCTCAGAGGCCAATTACATAGTTAAGAAGAATATAACACAAGAACAGGACAAAACAACTAATATCTATTGAAGCCATTAAAATAATAACACTCATAACAATAACAAAAAAGAAACAACAACAAGGTTTCGAAGGGATTCAAGCAACAGTAAATACCGACTACTCAATACTTACTACTTTCCATGGCAAAGGAGCACTGTGGATCATCAAATGGAAAGATATGGAGATGTCCTTGGCATGACAGGATTAAGTGACGGCTGCAAACAGAAGGCAGTGTCAGGTCAATGGGATATCTCAAACTTCAACGTTTTGTACAGACATTCCTCATAATTTTGTTCAACCATTCTCATTTGCTGTAAAATCCTTAACATTTATGGGTATCCCTCGATTTAAGAAGGTAATTCATCCCGTGAAAACAGTGTGCATGGTTAAAATCCATAAAACTAAAATTATGTTCCCATTACTCTAAGCAAAGAAGTCACCAACTCATTCACGAGTCCCAGAAAAGTCCCCAAATATATTTAACCTATGTTTTAAAAGTAAATAAACTTTAAATTAAGGCAGTATTGTAGGTTTATGAAATTCATTGCTGAAAATAAAATTGTATTATTTTATTCATGTTTCTTTTCTCGTAGATGATGCGATATAAAAATGCAGCTTCATTATCATGTGAATAAGCTTCTGACTTGCATGTCTTCATGGGTAGAAAACATACAGACTGCATACCAGCATGATAGCAACAATAACAGCAGATGATATTCATTTACAGGCAGGTCTACCATCTACAAAGTTGATAAAATGCATGATAGAAGCTGAATGGCTGCGTAAAATCTATGATAAGTTCAATGCACAAATATTACAGATAAAAATGTTTATTATAAATATCCACCTCCCCATGTGTTGTGTATGTGTATTTCACTGCCTTTTCAAAAAACTTATGAACATAACTTATTTCTTGTAGCGAAAATGAAATTCGCTAAGTGAAGAACGGGTACAAATCAACGTGCTTCATTACAGCAAAAATTCATAAACTGCACATTTGTAAAACGATGGATACATCTATTTTAGTGAGGCCTGCTGAACTCAGTGAGTATAGTGACTAGGCTATGGGGTTGACAAATATGAAACTACAGTTTTCTTTCAGTCACAGCATCTAGACTGGTTCTGGAATCCACTAAGACTCCTATCCTTGCATGAAAGAATTTGAAAACATCTGAGCTCATTTTCATTAAATATGATATTCGTGAGTTATAGTAAAAGTTACTCAAAACATTTCACTTTTGGTTAAAACTGAACAAAAGCAACATGAGGACCTGTGTGCATTTATATGCTTCCTTCAGTATGAGCACTAAATACTTCATTCATTCATCCATCAGTAATCTGTCAGATGACAGGTCCACAGTCTCTTCCAAACAGCTCCTCCACTTAATGCGATCTAGAGCTTTATCCTTCAAATAAAAATATCCTCTTCTGTCCCCAAGGTCATCCAGCATCTTCTTACGTCTTCTTCCTCGTCTTCTGGTTCGCATATATGGTGTCTCTGTTTTTGGAAAGAGACTATCCAGGAAAAGTGATAATGTGGTAGTTTTTCCATTTACATTCCACATCGCAGTACAACAGCCGTTCAAACCACTCTGGTCACACCTGTTGCTATACGAACTTGAACCATCTCCAGCGTCATTTGCTCTGTGCTTAAAGTTGCTGCAGATGACGCTGCTTCTGGCAAAAAAATATTTCATAAAGAAGTCATAGAGAAAAATGAAACAAAGCTTTTATGCCCAATATCCTTTCTCTGTAAGTCTTACAGTACTACAAATAAGCAAGAATCATTACATAATATGTAAATTTCCAGACTTGTGAATTCAACAATTAATGATGGTATTTCAAACACACATATGTGAAGATCATCCAACGCACAACAGTGGTCTTCCAAACACATGTGAAGATTATCTAAGAGACAGCAATGGTTTTCCAAACATATATGCTGATTACTGAAGTCATTTATTCTCCAAAATAATTAAGCAAATCTTCCTCCCACCTAACTTTGTAGGTGTACAAGTATGTAAATATAGATTTACTTAACATATAATTTTTCATCACAGCACAAATGTCTTCTTGATTGAATATTTCAAACTATTTCATCTTACTGCAATAAATGCTTTAACTTGGCCATTAGCATATCATTATAATTACATCTGCTGAATGCATTGGTTAAATTGGTTAATAGTATATCATATACTTTTACAAACTTCTTTGTTTCCAGTTTAACATACTTCTTGGGACCCAGACTCTTTGTTGAGCTGACACCGAAGTCAAACTGTAGATAAAGTATAATTAAAATTATTACCAAACAAAATTCCTGTCTTTTAGTACCCAATCAATGTACAAGACTAAGATATTGTCACATAATAGAGATTAGACATTGGGCTTGGATTTAATACTGAATTAACTGAACACTTATAACTTGTAACTACAAAATATGATTGTAACACTCTCACTAATCTACACTCCACGAATCACTACAGTACACACTAAGTCTTCTCACTCTGTTATGTCTTCACTAGCCATTGCTTGGTATCAGCTTCTAACAATGGAGATTGCTCTGCTTCCAGCCTTACAGTTAACCACCAACTGTGAATGCAGACTCAGTGGTCCCACTGGTCCTTGTTATATAGCCTCGGCATGGATCACCCAGAAAACATAGTTGCCTGTTATTCTTCTATTGCTGTGGTGTATTTGTTTCTGCAGAAACATATTTAGTGTGCCAGTGCCTAACCACGGTTGTCTCTTCTGGCTCCGCTATTCCATATCATGTCACAATATAACTATACATCATGCATGATACAATGTAAGAACAGAAAAACACATTATTTTAACAGTATTAGTACAAAACACACATTTCCAATGTGATTTAACACTAAATCTAAACACTAAACACTTCAAACTGAAGTAAACTTAATTTCATCATAAAAACATGAGACAGTCACCACTGGTAAAAGGTAAATGCAAAATTTACACAGAATTTAATTAAGCCTCATACCATGACCGCATGATGGAAAAGAAGTATAACACTAGGTGGAGGCGAGTGGTCAATCTTACTGCCAGAAAAAGCTCCCCCAGTTCATATTAAATGAGAGGCTAGGTGGGTCCCAGAGGCAGTCTGGATGTCCTGACTCAGCCACGCTGGCTCACTGGCTTCACACAGGAATTTCAGTTTTCTTTTTTAAGGGAATCTCAATATTCTGGTAGCGACTATCTCCTACAACGTTCTTGCTTGATGACAACAGTGATTGAGCTCTATATGTATAATGATACATAGGTGATAGGTAACCAGTCTAGAAAACCGAGATTAACAGCCGTGGTGATCTGTTGTGCTGACCACGTGACATCCTCTATCCACAAAAGTTGGCCTTCGCCAACAGGCAGCAGTCGTTCAGTTGGTACAATTCACTTACAAACTACAGGCCATGGAGTTTATTTTGTTTTAGTTTTAGGTTACAGCTATAGCTGATTGTCTTCTAAGTTTTATAACTGAAAGAAATACTGTTGAACTAACTGAAAGTCATGACACAAAATACAAAATACTGACAGGTGGAAATACTTGAATTGAACGCTGTGTCCTTACCGCATGAGATACGAGACTGTGCCATTGCGGTAGATGCGAAGAGCAAAGTGAACGGGAATGAGCGGGTCCTTGAAATCCCCATGCATAATAAAGTATGTATCTGGCAGCCAGATGTCGTTGTGGTGGTGGATTGCATTGAGAAACTCATATTCACTCTTGTTGGAATACTTTAGGCGGGGATCAAACCACTGCTGCTGTAGAAGGAATTCCACTTCATATTTCTGCAACATAACAAACTTATGATCATAGTAATTATCACCGTATCATTACGACATATTGAAAATTCTGCTCAAAGGGACCTCCTCAAAAACGTGCACTTGTATCTTCACTCTAGCTCAAAAAATGAAATGCCTGAAGGCATAAGCCACAACAATAGAATGAATCATTTTTATTGAAATATTCTTTTTATATAATAAATGAATTTGTTAGTTGTAATAAAAAAGTGGATGGTGCAAGTACTCATGTTCGGATGTCATAGCCATTCAAGAGCTGTATATAGCAGTTTATATATTTTTTGGAATGTTGTATTTATATATTGCTTATGATTGTAACAAATGTTGGTAGTACGCTTGTTAACTTTGTAGATTTATTTTGTTAACTTGTATTACTAAATGACGTGTCCCAAGTGTTACTATGCAGCAAAACGAATGAAATAAAATAAAATACAATATTATATTTAAGCATCCTGTTACACTCTACACAATGTATGACACAAACTCCATCCTAAGTGCAACAATTTATTGTAGTTCTTTTGTCTTATTTTCTTCTACACTACATGTTTTGGCCAAAAATGGCCATCATCAGGTGTATTTCTCTCATGTGGCTGTTACACAGCACATAGTTTAAAATTTAAAAACNTATACACCTGATGATGGCCGTCTGAGGCCGAAACATGTAGTGTCGGGAGCAAGATCAAAGATACAAAATATATTGTTTGCACTTGAGACGGAGTTTATATCATTTAAAAACACCAGCTTTCTTAATTGTTCATTTCTCCATTGTTAATAGGTCCCAATATAACAGAATTCCCTTGCTGATATGTGTCAGATATGTATAAAATTTTTGTTAATTTACATACGTCAATTTTATTTTTGAATTTTGGTATTTTTAAAATCTTCAGTTCACAGGGATACCTACTCTAGGTCTACAGTGCTGCAGCAATTACTTCTTGCTTTCAGCACCGTTCAGGTATTATTTTGTGCAGGCTCCCTGTGTGCGTGCCACTGCTTATCTTACACCTGATGATGGCCATTTTCGGCCAAAACATGTAGTGTAGAAGAAAAGAAGACAAAAGAACTACAATAAATTGTTGCACTTAGGACGGAGTTTGTGTCATACAAAATAAAATACAATACAATACAAGTCTTGCAGATGGTGACTGACTGAATCAAGGGATGGGTAAATAGTCATTTGGGTTTGGCTTAAGGGTTCAGAAGGAGAATCTTAAAAGCCATCAGAAACCCTCAGAAGTGTAATATTTTTATTGCAAGGTTTTTTTTAATTCGCTTAGTGAGGGGTTGAATCCAACTGGGTCCACTCGCCATAGCGGCCACTGATTGGCCTATTGGAGCCTGCCCTGGGTGATTATGATGGTGGAGAATTTTGTTGAATGAAGATTGGCATGGGAAACTGAAGTACTTGGAGAAAACCCGCCCCAGTGCCTTTGTCCACCATAAATCCCACTTGACCAGACCTGGGATCAAACCCGGGCCTGGTGGGAAGCCAGCGACTAACCGCTTAAGCTATGGCGCAGCCCTTCATTGAAAGGTTAATCACACAACCAAAATATGAACAAAAATATAAAAGTGCAATATTCTTCTCAGATAAACTAAACTTGTGTTCTTCCAGAGAGGTAAGAGAAGAGACTAAATTTCATGTCCATACATAAGAAAAGTTAAAATTATAGTTTTACTATTTTAATCCTCAGATTTTTACATCAGTCCCAGGAAGATATAAGATTCTAAACTGAAAGGTAACAAGAATTCCTCATATAAACTCTGGCCTAAACTTTTTCATTAATATGATTCTGACATGTTTCAATATTGCATGTCAGTCATATAAAAAACTAAAAAATCTAAACTCCCTGGCCTGTAGTCTGGAAGCGAACTATACCGACCGAGCAACCGCCGCTTGTCAGCGAAGTTAGTGACATCTTTAGCGGATAGAGGGTGTCACGTGGTCAGTGCAACGGATCCCCATGGCTGTTAATCTCCGTTTTCTAGAGCGGAGCTGCTATTTCCTTGAAATAGTTCCTCAATTATCCTCACAAGGCTGTGTGGACCCCGCTCCAGACCCATTACTTCTCAGAAAATCTGGTATCGCCGGGAATCGAACCCAGGACCTCTGGATCTGTAGCCAGAAACTCTTTACCACTAGACCACAGAGGCGGTCAATGCCAGTCATATACTGAAACAAAGTACGCTGTTGTCTCCTGAAATTTCCTGTTGGGTATCCTCATCAAATTTATGTGTGTCTGATGGCTTGATATGTAACAGATTCCTGCATCTTCACGTTCTCTTTCCACATGCTTGACACAAGCAATTCAAACAAGTCTTGAAAGAAGAAAGCAGTCTTCTGGGATTTGGCACCGTGTATATGTGGGACAAGCCTTAAAAGCATTTTCCAGCATAAGCATGTTTTCGGTTTCTGCAGTAGTAGGCCCTGTAGGTTTATAACCATAATTTTACATCAATCTGACTCACTACTCATATCCATATTCTCATTCATTTCACATTGAATAACACATTTACTTCAAGGAAAAGCATTAAATTGGCTTATTTATACCATAAAAATCTCCCATTCCATTCCATCTCCTCTGTCAGGTGTTTGCTATGAGCCTATAGAGGTCAAAAGTCATAAAGAAATCTTCATCCATTGCTGCTGTCACTACATATTCCATATGATTTAATACATAAAGGGATTTACCACTCTGAAAAACCAAGGCATTAACTAACAGAAAATAAAAATATGTGACATCACAAATTCTATAAGTACAGTGCGTTCAGTTAAGGAGGAAACTTTGCAACACCACTGACCTGGCCCAAAATTCCTCACAGATTGTTGCTGTAACTGCTGATAGCAGAATGAGTCATTTGCGCTGATAAACGCGCGCCGTTACAGTTACAGCAGCAATCTGTGAGGAATTTTGGGCCGGGTCAGTGGTGTTGCAAACTTTCCTCCTTGATTGAACGCCCTGTACTTTCATATGCCAAGTATGGTTTTTATGTCACGTTGTTTCAATGAAAGTGTAAGGCAGGTACCAAAAAGGCGCAACCTAATAACAATGAAGGACTTAACGTACCAAAATTTGGATCATACCTCTCATTGTATCAAACTTTTCAAATTTATTAGCCACTTTATTGAGACTTCTTTTCCCTAAAGTCATCCAGAAATATGTACAGTGTGACACCTAATAAGCTGGTTCACTTCCGGCTAAAAGTGCCTCATGATTATGACAAATTTAAGATGTAGAGCCAAACTATCTCTACGTATAACACACATGCTTTAGTTATGAGACAAAATATACTTTATATTTTGATTTGTATGCCTACTTACAGGGCCGCGCCACAGCTCAAGCTGTCAGTCACTGGCTTCCTACCGCGGTGGCCTGGGTTCGATCCCGGGTCTGGTCAAGTGGGATTTGTGGTGAATAAAGTGGCGCTGGGGCAGGTTTTCTCCGAGTACTTCGGTTTCCCCTGCCAATCTTCATTCCACCAATTCCTCCACAATCACCCTCACATACCATCTTGGGCTGGTACAATAGGCCAGAAGTGGCCACAGTACAAGAGACTTAGTCCCACCCCACTAGCAATAAAAAAAAGGTATTCTTGTAACAGGCCCTGGAGGTCCATAGGGTTGTGACATGTTGAGGCTCAAACATTTTCTAGACAATTGGCTCACAGATGGCGATGAGGTCGTCAGCCTTATGCGCCAGCTGCCCTTTACCCACAGGAATATTCCTGGTATTCATTTCTGTTAGAGGCTGAGTCGACTCCAGGGCCATAGTGCGGCTGAAAGGATTAGGTCAATTGAAAAAATCCACCTCATCAGGATTCGATCCCACGACCTTCCGATTTGTAGCATAGTGCCTCAACAAACTATACTACCGCGTGCCCCAGAGCTAAGTTAGTTACCACTAATAATTACATTCCATTTTAAGTTTCCACAGTGGTGACTATGAAGAGTTCTATCCAGTGAAAGTCAACTAATATTTCAGAACATGTCACTTGCATCCTCAGGGCCGAAGAGTAAGCCAAGATTTGTGTGCTACCTGCTACATGCTTCTTTCTTGCATGGCTTACCCTTTGACCCTGAAGACAGGGGTGAAATGTTCTTCTGAAAGATTCGCTGACTCTCATAAGACTATGCATCATTACATCTCAGAAGATTACACTCTTCTTTTCATTAATAATTAATATGTAGACTACAATTTATATACAATATTAAACAGACAAGGTAATGGTCCTTATAGAACCCACTGCTATTTACTAGTCCATGATGAAGAAAAATTGAGAATCACTGATCTAGAATAACTGAATTCTAATCAGAGGAATGGTTGAATTTTACGGGAAATGGCAGTATGTGCACCTTGTAATTTGTACTCACCAAACTGGACTCATCTGGTGAGGCAAGACTGAGAAGAAGAACGCTTACATTTACTGTCAAGGGTCCTCCTGAAACAATCGCAACATGTACACAGCATAATTAACGTGTGAAATTTATACTTCTGTAAATCATCTGACATCAAATGTGGCACTACTTCCTGTGAGCTTTCAAGCAACATTATAAGCTGAAATTCACACTCAGTTTTAGAGTAAAAAAAAATAAATGAATATCTCACAGAACAGTCATGTTTGTGTGTGTCATATGTAACAGCATTTGAAGTCTGTGTCAATTTTGAAAAAATGTGACATTGAGTTCAAGTCAGACAAGATGAGAAACTAAATACAAACACCTAACACAATCTTTGAAAATGTGGTAAACTTCAAATATTTGGGAATGACAGTAACACATCAAAATTTCATTCACAGATAAATTAAGAGCAGATTATGAAAAGTACTATATTCTGGGATGTGACACCATGTAGTCTGATGAAAGCTTACCGATGTTTCACAGGAATGCCAGTATACTTCTGCCAGACTACAATGTGTCATATCCAAAAAGATAGCAAGTCTACTCTTCACAGTCAATGGTGTGAGAATCTCATAAGGGCAGATCAAATATATGGAATGCTTGCTACCATTAATTTCAGAATATTTTGTCTTCCTGTCTATCAAAAAATGTAAACATTAAAACAAATTAAACTACAAATTTACTTGCTGTTTTGTATGACTGTGACACTTGGTCTATCGGAGAATGCAGAATTCAAGGATCATTATTATGAAATATGAATCTGTAAGGCATCTCTCCACTTTTTCTGGGGCTAAATGATTGAAGAGTTGTGTATTCTATTTTGGTGGTCCATCCAGGGCTTCAACAATTTTTTTATGTGTTTAAACCTGTATCTCTAGCTCAGGGATGGTGGCACTGGTTGACACTGTTTGCCAGATCTGGCAGCAACTGCAATTTTGAAAGGCATCAAGTATTACAGATTTTGTTACATGATAATTCAATAGTTCAGGAAATCTAATATTTGTTTAATATATGTGTCTGACATCAAAAATACTGCAGTAGTATGGTATCCAAAAGAAAGGTCACAACAAGAAAACATACTTTGCTTTCTTTTGATACCACCTTTACCAATTATTTGAATCCAAAAAATACATACTACACGAGCTAATAATAGTCCTTCATATAAAGCACATATATATAAATATATTGGAGAACAGCATGGATATGCACAGCAGTAGATATCTCATTTAAGTCCAATAGGACAGTACTGGAACATTGGGAATGACCAATATCACTCCTTACTGACAGGAAGTTCTCTTTGTTCATAATTCAGCATCAAGCAGGAAAAATGTTCATCATCCTTGCTGTAGGAATATATGAGAGTAGTATCTTAAATATATCAGCACCATTACTCTTTCAATGTATACATCTATGGGAATTACTGTACATTGAAGAACTTGCATTTTAATGTTGTTTACACTTGTAGCATGAATCAAACTGGCCATTTACATGCACAAAAATAACACCGAGACAGGGTTCTGGAGCTATGCCTTGATTTCTCAGAAAAATAAAATGCAATGCAGTTGAGATTCAACTAATAATAAAGTTATAATACAGCTTCAACATAAAAAAACTAGAACGTTTCTGCATCATTATACACGTACTAAATACTGTTGGGCTTTGTAAAAGTGATACTGTAGTTCTCTTATACTAGTGTCTCATTAAGGTAGAGAAGTAAAGTTTTCCCTATACTTAATTAATTAAGCAATGGAGGTAAATCGGGGAGTAGAGGTATAGCTCCACCATTCTTAACCTTGGCACTGGCTGGAGGCAAGTGGTTAGTTTGACACCCTGGTCACTTCTCCATAATTCTGGTCGTTTCCTTCTAATACGTTCGCGCAATTTCGCCAAGACTTCAAGGTAACACTGCTGATATACCGTCTGGCCACAGGGAACCCACTCTGAAATTACAATACCCTGGATATCGGGGGGAAAAAAAAATCAACGTGACCTTGAACTTCGAACAACACTTGCGTGCTTTTTTTTTTTTTTTTGTATTATTCAAAAATTCATGCACGAGACATGCTCTCTTCACCATAAGCCTCAGTCAATAATTGAAAAGTTTCCATCACGGATTTCTTCAGTTTCACAAGAAACTTTATGTTAACTCGTTTTTCACTCTTGCACCCCAACATTTTCCGACCAAGGGTAAGAAAACGTCTACATCTAAACACGCATCCATTCGTACTGAGTAAAGCTATGGAGTTGAGCCCTGTCTCACAGTGACAGGTTAGAACATGCTCAATAACCATCTCTTTCTCTGTACCCACTCTCAGTTACCAAACTATAAGGTTAGTCTCCTTTTTTCGTGTGTGTGTCTGACCACATATGATTTACAGTGGGATGTTCAATTCCTAAATGGGAACAGCTATTTTGAAAATGATAGCAGTTTTGCTCAATCATTCAAAAAAATCTTAAATGCCAAAATAATAGGCAATGCCTACCTCCTTCCACATCCCTGGCAGTTGATACATCATCGTAGAGTAACTGAAAATAACTAACCAACAAGTAGCTGATATTACTGTAAAGACCCACAGCTTTCTGCATCCATAAAGACAACCACCATATGGTCATCGAACAAATTTTTCCTTCTTGCTACCTTGGAGTAATAAATTATTTACAGCAAAATGATGTCATGTGTCTTCTGAAGGCAAAACCATACATATTCTTGACTTCAACAGCCAAGCCTCTTACAGTAGATTATTGTAATTCTGTACACTGATGCTACAGTCTACAAATTTCATAAATGTATTGTGGCTGAAAAACAGTTCATTCCAACTGTTCTTCGTGATGCTAAAAATAACTGCATGAATGAACTCCTTGACAAACTCTTGCATTTTAAGTAACACAAGATAGCTCCATATAACCCTGATACAAGAGTGCAACACAGATGAAACAGAAATTAGTGCTTTTCACAACAATCATGCTGTGGGGCCATTTACCATAACATATATTCCTACTAGTATATATTGATCACAAGTTGACTCGAATCCAATACCTAAAATTCTGAAATAAGACCATTTCTTTCTGTTCTGACTGCATGATCCCAAATATAGACAAGAGACAAGACCATCAGAGAAACAGAAACAACTGCTGTGGCTTGCTGAACTTTCTTTACTCAGTTCAGGTTACAACACACTAACAAGGAACTCTAAATACAAAGGAACAGAGTCATGTGCAAAATTTTGCTCTTGATGGTTAGTGAAGACTGATAGTCTTTGGTTCTGAAATCTGACACAGTACAAGAGCTATGAAATACTGAATACTGCTTTAGTTCAGATGAATTTCTTCTTTGGGTGGCAAACTAAATGAAAAACACAGTCATGTTGCTTGAAATAAAACTTTAATTTTAATAAATGGATGCAACTGCAATAACAATATATACATAGCCAAAAAATTATGAGACTATAAATTTTTCAAAATTTTCTCAGTTAACATACAAGGAAGTTGTGAAATTTGAGATTCTCAAAGTTGTGACTATGAAGATTACTTGTCATCTGGGGTGTGAAGCTGTTTTGTCTGATATATGTTTACCAATGTTTTGGATGTACATATTCACTCCATCTACATGGAAGAAGAGTGGCAGAACATGGAAGAATGTGGTACAGATACAGACACGAACACAGACACAAGAGACCCTTGAAAGGGTTATATCATGTCACAGTAGAGAGATAGAAGAAAAAACTGCTCTGAATGGCATGTAGGTCGTATAAGGTCACATATGCTACCACTGAAACAGATCCTTCAGGCCCACAGTTTCCTTACTCCATCCCTCCGGATTTTCATATACCACTCAATGGTCACTCGGTCATTTTTCTTCCATTTCTCTACTCTGGCAATAAGTGGCCTTTCAAGGGCCCTAACTTCTTTGCTGTTATCTTTTCCTCCAATTGGTCCAATCCACGCTCTTATCCCGAATGACTCCTCTCTATATTTGTACCAGATTATTCCATGCTCAACTTAATCCTCTGCTCTGAATATGGGCTCATTACACTCCCCCAAATCATTAGTAAACATCTACCACACTACACAGCATCATATCATACAAGAAGGTTCATCTAAATGTATGTAAACCTTCATCAGCTAAAAATAAACTGGAACATATAAATAAACATCAGTTTTCTGAATGCAGACTTAAAGAATCATGGCCAGTGATCTAAGCAACAACTCCACCCAACATATAACTAAAAAATTACATTTTCCAAAGAAGGTTTCATCAAAAACAGTTTCTAAAAATGATTTCTATATTTTACTACTAAATTTATATCACAAGAAACATTATTTTTAAAACACAGAAACAGTTCTAAAAATAATTTATACTCTTTAAATCTTCAGTGACATTATCTTGCAATCAAAACACTGAACACAACAAAACGTAATTCATCTATAACAGAAGTCTTCTGACACTACTGGGAAATCAAATGTTACTAGATACTGGTTAACCAAAAGAATACTTTTCAAGCTTAGATATGTCTGAAAGTGTGATATGTTTCTTTCAGTGTGCTGATAAAAGCCTGGGTCTCCTCCTACCCCGTACTTTCTACCCACACACTGTATTTCATTCACTGTCACACAATATTTTGTCTCTAAAAGCATATCTTACAGCACTCTCAAACTCAGATTTAGCTTCAAAGTTGAAATATACAAGCATAATGTACTGGAACATGAGCATCATTTAACTTTTGACAAGTCCGCTGATGTTTGTGCTGGAGGAATGAAACACTGGCCCTACATAATACGAGTATGTGTGACCTCAGATTACTGACTAAGCAATTCTCAAAACTATTTTAATTTTTCTAGAAACCTATCACCACCAGCACACACATTCCTACCACTGGAAAGAATGTAATTCTTAATGAGAAAACAGAAAATTTACTTCTATTCAGCAATTTAGGAAGATGGTAACTCAAATGTTCAGAGTGGTATGAAAATATACTGTTGTTTTTCTAGGTTATGATTATTCACATGTAGTTGGTTGAGGCACTATGCTACAAGCAGGAAAGTCGCGGATTCAAGTCCCAATGAGGTCACTGGATTTTTTCATTGACATAATCCTTCCAGCCGCACTATGGCCCTGGGTTTGACTCAGCCTCTAACAGAAATGAGTACCATGAATTAATTAAATAATTTCCTGGGGAGTAAAGCATGGCCGGCGCGTAAGGCTGACAACCTTACCACCATCTTTGAGCCAATTGTCTAGATAATGTGGGACCCTCAACATCTCACAACCCCATGGGCCTTCACGCCATGTTACAGGGATAGCTTTACTTTACTTACTTTTTACAGTTCAATAACCATTTAAAATATTACTGAGATTTCTTCTGATACTAGATCATTCATTGATATATGGACAGACATACATGGTCTCCTCACAAGGTATTTTCATAACTTCATCTCACAGCTCTCCTTGCATACAGAAATTTCTGTGTTATTAAGGGTCCTAGTTTATATACATTCATGTCACCCCTTCGGCTTTCTACTGTGAGCTCTAAGATAGTATTTATGGCTTATCATTCTCTGATCAATATATTTTCTTAATTGTTTGTAAGTTCAAGAGCAGAAGCTTCCAGAATTAAAATTTTTTATCATCTGAAGCACTAGGATTTTATGAAAAGGGTTTTCTCTTTTCAAGTACTTATATGATTTGGATCATTGTACCATCATGAACTTGCACTGAAACATACAAAAATAAATAAGATGTTCAGTTTTATATTTACACTCTAAAAATCTGAGCAAATTATGTCCTGAAATCCTGAAGTCAGGAAAATGTAGTATTCTGAAGGATACAACACTGAATTGCTAGGATACAATTTAAAACATTTATGGTCAAAGGATATGCTAATACATTACTCTCTATATGACTAATGATGGATACATCACAAAACACAAATGAAACAAAGGCATTTCTCTTTTGCTAAACTCAAGGAATTATTAGGGAAGTAGGTTCTTTATAAAAAATCTGGTATATGACATAAACTCCATCCTAAGTGCAACAATTTACTGTAGTTCTTTCGTCTTGCTTTCTTCTACACTACATGTTTCAGCTGCAAATGGCCATCATCAGGTGTATACTCTCACGTAGCTGCTACACTGCACGTAGTTTAAAATTTAAAAAACACTAGTCTTCCCAATTGTTCATTTCGCTGTTGCTAACAGGTTTCGATATATCAGAATCTTCCCCGCTGATATGTCAGATATGTACAAAATTTTGTTAACCTACACATGTCAATTTGATTTTTATAAACTGGCACTTTTAAAATCTTCAATTCCAATTTATAAAATTTCTTTAAAATTTTTTCCAAATTTTAAAATTTAAAATTATCAAGGTTACCCGCCCTATGTCTATGGTGCTGCAGCGGCTACTTATTGTTTTCAGCACTGTTCAGGTATTATTCTGTGTAGGCTCCCTGTGTGCGTGCCACTGCTTATCTTTAATACATAAATGTAATTGTAAAAAATATGGTCTTTCTTTTCTTAGAGTATTTTGTGATGCTCTCATTGTGTGGACCATATAGCACTGAATGGTAGTTCAATTGAGGGAAAACACTAAGAACCTCATTCAGGGTATCACATGTCCTGGCTGAGATTTCATCTACCGATGTTCTGAGCATGTGTGAAAAGCGTTACTGCTTCACCAATCCAGTACATCACCCTGTAAGGCGGCCCATACATGTACGAGTCTGGCTCGCATGGCCAGCTCGGTGAGGAGCCGGGCTCAGATTAATTTCACCGCACATGTATGAGCATGGTGACCCACATGCACGGACAAGTCTGGTTCACTGGAACCCGAGCCGAGTTCATCTCTTTTTCTGAACCTGAGAATAAACATACTTCTTCCCTTCCATAGGGAAACGATTTACTTAAAACCACAGAAAGCTCTTTTAAGTTTCTGATATGGAGATGATTATATGAATTGGAGGTTCTGGTGAGACAATAAAAATGAACAGAACTGAAATTAGTATCATAAACAGTAAACAACCCGATTAAGAAATTTCCCCCTTACCACATGGGCAGGAACAAAATTATTTTCTATATTCCTTCAGTTCGTAGTGATTACCATCATGATATAGAGATCTCTGGCCTTTCTCTCTGCTGTTTACATAGTTAATGAGTACTTATGAAATGAAGAGACCTGTTTCTTACATTATAACATAAAATAAAATCTCTGTAAAGACAACAGATGGCTTATATTTCTCCAGCCTTACATTCTAAGAACAGAACTACACACAAAGAAATACAGACTATGAAAGAAGGAACAGCAAAAAATTCTCAATACTCGTAAAACCTGCTTATCTATTGCAGAGATTTCCAGACCCACAGACCTTTGCCGTTATCATTCTTTTATTTTTACTTTGCCAAGTGCTTATTAACTAAGTATGGATTCTCTATGCTATATTTTCCAGATATAACTTCAAAATTTTGCACTGTTGCCATATTTGTAGATGTTGACTTACAAGCATTTCATAAGTAATGTGCAGGTATATTTATATTCTATGTATCATATTTTAAATCCCTAGCTCTGTTGATTCCTAATTTGTTGCCATCAAATCAAAAGCTAAAGACAATTTTCATACAGATGCATGTTACTATATATTCTTAAAAAAAAAAAAGAACTGCACATTTTCCTAAGATGTATTATCATATATTATTTCAGGATCCCAAATTAAGTGTCGCTGTTGTAGCTCCCAACTCATTAGTTCACGGATCCATTATGTTGTTATAAGTTACAAAAAATTAAAAAGTAGAACCTGGATTTAAGTAATAACTATGTCTCCAAAAAAGATGATGATAATGACAATCTGTAACACTGTCAAGAATGCAAACAATAAAAATATTCTGAATGAAGTTGGATCCAATTCTATTAACATCTACGCGTGAGCCCAACAAACTAGACAATGAACTAAACTGCGCCATATGTTGGATTATAAACTTTTTTTTTCCCCCTTGGCACTACAGCCCCAGTGGACCTGGGCCTACCTCCATGAACTCCGTTCACTTCGGTTTTTCAAGATCTTACACATACGGTAGGACTCCTTGGGCAAGTGATCAGCTTGTCGCAAGGCCTCTAACTGTAGACAAACACAGAAAAACGCACACAAACATCCATGCCCTGAGTGGGATTCGAGCCCACGATCCCGGCTTCCAAGCGAGCGAAGACAGTGCATGCCTTAGACCGCTCGGCTACTGTGACCGGCGGATTATAAACTTACCTTACATAAATGTAACATTAGCGATGAACGATTTAAAGGGATAGAAGTCTGTGGAATAGATTTCATAATTTCTATGTGGAACTGCTTGTTGGTATATAAATTGCATTTATAATGAGACATTTTCTGTCATATATTTAGACTAATGGTTTAATTTGGTATTATGGATAAAATTGTCAGTATATTTTTACAGAAATTAATTTAAAATCATTATTTATATTTCTGTATGACTCTGTGGCATTTTATATATATCCATGAAATATTAACAGCTGACAACAGATTAACAGATTTCAATTTAAATATTTCTTCACCCAAGAGTACACAAAACATTCCTGGAATGGAGCAGATGGGAATCTTAAGCAGTGCTACACTGTGATAAAATCATGCACAAACAAAACACACAGTAGACAAAGCAAGTGATACGATTACTGATCCTACTATCTATAATTCTTGAGTTCGCCACCAACACAGGCCATGCTTTCATACATACTGTCATGAGATAATCATCATTCCCCCTGGCTAGCAGTCACAAAACACCACCAATGTCTTCAAAATACCATGACAGATTAGCCATGACCAGTTCACAAAGGAAACATCCATCATATCCTTCATATGGACACACACACACACACACACACAGACACAGACAACAAACAAACAAGCAGTTAGTGATAGTCATAAAGAAATAAGAGAAACAGAGAAAGAATGAGTGATGAAAGTGAGAGATTGGTGAGACGGACCAGGAAGGTGTTTCCGGGAAGTGCCCGGGGTCCGGGGATCTGATGGTGACCGCATCCCGCAGCAAAAATCAGCATCTGCAACACAACAGTGTGCCAACTACACTGGAGCTGCTCTCACACATGTCACTGAACCAGAAGGAGAATCACATTTACAGTAGCTTTCTGTAAGTTCCAGTAGCCTGTTTCTATCCTTTGTAACAAAAAGAGTTAACTGATAATGGAATTACAAATTATTTTATGTACCACATAAGCACTAAAGTTATTTTAAGTGTCAATATAAATGGAATCTGCTATGTGCTATTGTAAATGTAATTGTCTTTCAAGGTTCAGAGAAAGCTGAGAGTAATGGCTGCAAAGAAGCGCCATATTGACTCTGACTGCCACACTTAACATAAAGTGAGATGCATCTGTTGTATGAGATCATAGTAAGAACAATAAGATAGTATTTTAGTTATTTGTTTAAAAATGTAAGAACTCTATAAAACAGTATGTATGTTAATTGTTTAAGATTTACCAAGTAGCAAGCAGAGTAAATATATAATTAGAGTTACAGATGACAAATGTTATTGTATTTTCCATATTAGTTATTTGTTGAGGAAGAGGTAGATCATACTACAGTTATAAGTTGTTATTATGAGGAAACTTGTGAGTAAATGATATAATTATTTAATGCAAACACACTGATTTCATATTACTACACCATTAGAACAGCTTGAACACTCAAGAATATCAATGCTTAAACTAGAGACAGGGCTTCTTCCATCTCATCATTTTGGTACTACAACTGTAATAGCTGAAGTCAAACCAGTAATTTCCATAGTTTCCCACAGAACTCCACAGTTTTGCAAGAGTTTCCCAGATGTTACAGTGACTAAAATTAACAACAAAAACTTAATCTATCATCAATGAACCTTTTGCCGCACTTCTTATCCAAGAGTATGTAGAGTTAAGTGTAAGAATACATTTAAAACATGGATTATATTCTAAAATAAACACAGAGTAGGAACCCCAAAAAATGTTCTTTGTACTTTTAAGCCTTTAAGTGATTACTCTCTCAAATTCAGGAGCCAGGATAGCATAGTTGGTGTAGAGACTGACTACAGACTGGATGATCAAGGGGTCAGAGTTTGAGTCCTGGTAAGATCAAGAATTTTTTATCTTTTCCACATCATCCAGACAAGCTCTGCAGTTCACCCAACCTCCTACCCACTGGGTACCAGGGACTATTCCCTGGGAGTGAAGCAGCCAGGGTGTGAAGCTGACCACTCACCTCCAACTAATGCCAAGGTCAAGAAAATGTGGATCTATACATCCACACCACCACATGCCTTCATGACGCAGCGCTTAATTAGTTAACCACAGGGACAATTTTTTTACTATCTCAAAATCAAAGAACAGCAAAACAGTTCTGTACAATGTCTTTCCTGGAGAAAATTATGTGCGAACAAAATAACTGTCATAACTTTAATGAAGCAAGAATGATATGGCAGTACATATTACTGGATAAGGTTTGAGGTTCTCACAACAGCGAACATGAATATTACTGTCTTCTGGGGTGAGACACTGAGTAGGCTGGTAGATGAGCCCCTTTATACCATACATATATAATTAAGCTCTGGATGGGCTCGGAGACTTCAAAGTATGAGGGCAAATTATTGAAACTGTGAAATATGCAGATGACCTTGTGTTAATGGCTAAGGAAGACACTGTGCTACAGGGCATGATTGATAGACTAATTGAAATTGGAAGGTGCTATGGCATGGAAATGAATGTGGAAAAAACAAAAGTAATGAAAATTTCGAGACAACCAACCCAAGTCACAATAAAGATAGACCAAAAACAACTGGAGAATGTGAAATGTTTTAAATATTTGGGTAGCTTGGTAACAGATGATGGAAGGTGTACTAGTGAAATTAAATCCAGGATTGCCATGGCAAAAGCTGCATTTAGCAAGAAGAATCTTTTTACCAGCAAATTGGACTTAAATTTTAGGAAGAAACTAGTGAAATGCTACATTTGGAGAATAGCTCTGTATGGGGCTGAAACATGGACACTTAGGGCAGTAGTTCAGAAACATCTGGAAAGTTTCGGAATGTGGTGTTGGAGAAGGATGGAGAAGATCAGTTGGACCGATTATGTGAGAAATGAAGAAGTGTTAATTAGAGTCAGTGAGCAGAGGAATATCCTACACGAAATAAGAAAACAGAAGGCTAATTGGATTGGTCATGTTTTACGCAGAAACTGCCTTCTAAAAGAAGTTATTGAAGGAAAGATAGATGGGCGGATAGAAGTGACAAGAAGACGAGGAAGAAGACGTAAGAAGATGCTGGATGACCTTGGGGACAGAAGAAGATACTGTCATTTGAAGGAGAAAGCTCTAGATCGCATTAAGTGGAGGAATTGTTTTGGAAGAGACTGTGGACCTGTCGTCTTGACAGATTACTGATGATGATGATGATTATTAATTGCTATTTTGTAATCTGTAATTATGTATATAATTATCATGCCTGAGTCTGAATGTCTGTAATTATGTATATAATTATCATGTCTGAGTCTGAATGAATGTAAGTATAGAAAAATAACACAAATTTCATGTTCAGTGATGATTCAGCAGGGTTGGCATTGAAAGCAAAATGACGAGAGTTAACATTTTGATGCAAAGAGAACAGATTTAAATTCTTACTCCATGAAAATTAATGAAAACAACATGCATACACTTACAAATATTAAAAATCCTAACATAGTAATTTCTTGCTTGCAATGAAAGTCCTCGTGTGTACTGTATCTAATATTAACCCCCAAATAAGATAAGGTCTTGCATGACATCCAGAAATATCTGTTCCAGCTATTGGTTTCATATTTTAATACATTAGACATATCTGTTATGTCTACAGATATGACCTAATCCTCCCAGCCGCAATATGGCCCTGGGGTCAACTCAGCCTCTAACAGAAATGAGTACCAGGAATTAAATAATTTTCCTGGGGAGTAAAGTGTGGCCGGCACATAAGGCTGACAACCTTACCACCATCTGTGAGCCGACTGTCTAGATAATGTGGGACCCTCAACGTCTCACGACACTATGGGCTTTCATGGCATATTACAGGGATAGCTTTACTTTTTTTTACTGAAATCTCAAAAAGGTTTACAGTTCTCTACACTGCAGTAGAATTTAACAGAGCTTGAGAAGCTATTACGGAGAATATAAAAATTTCAGCCAAAGGTAGTCTAGGTTATTACAAACTGAAGAAACACAAGTCATGGTTCAACGAAGTAAGCTCTGAATTATTAGATCAAAGGAAACAAGCCAAATTGCAATGGTTACAGGATCCAAGCAAAATAAATGGGGATAATCAGAATAGAAGATCTGAAGCCAACAGGAATTTCAGGAATGAAAAGAGGGAATATATGAAAGACAAAATCAATGAGCTTGCAGTGAACAGTAAGAACAAGACATCTGAGACCTGTATAGAGAATAACTGACTTCAAGTGGAAGTAACTTGGTGAAGGATGAGAATGGTAATCAGCTTGCAGATTTTGACAACATTTTGAAAAGGTCAAAGAATTAATTCTCTGTTATGGAATGTACATGGGGATCAGTGATGTTAAGCAGATAGAAATACATACAGTTGAGACATTAGTAACTGAACCTAGTCCTTTGAGGTTGAAATTGTTACTGTGATTTTAACTTGAACAATTTCCACTTTTTTGTGGTTTGATTATCACTATGTATAATTTCGTTTTATGACTCCTCTGTATGTCACTGAGTTATATTTTATGAACTGTTCTTGTGTATGTTGCGTATATTGGAATCTTGTGAAATGCATAGGTTGTGGTGTTGCATAAGCTTTTATGGGTTGTAATTTAATCCATTTTAACTTGAACAATTTCCACTTTTTGTGTTTTGATTATCACTATGTATAATTTAATTTTATGACTGTTCTGTATGTGACTGAGTTCTATTTTATGAACTGTTCTCGTGTATGTTTTGATTTCATTGTGACCTGTTCAACATCCTACGCTTCGCCAAAAAGGATTTATTGAATTTAAAGAATAAATGAAATGAAAATGAAATGCAAAGTTGAAAAAGTATAAATCACCAGGTAGTGATCAAATTCCAGCAGAACTGATTCAAGCAGGAGGTGAAATATAACAGTGTGAGATCTATAAACTCATTAGTTCTATTTGGAATAAGGAAGAACTCCGTGATCAATGAAGAAGTCTATTATTGTACCGATTTACAAGAACGGCTATAAAGATGACTGTTGTTAATTATCGTGGAATATCACTGTTATAAATTTCATACATCATTTTATCCACTATCCTTCTTTCAAGTTCAAACCTTTATAAAGATTACGTCAGTGGTTCTCAACCTTTGTGAGACAGCAGCCGAGTAAATTCTCTTTTTATAAGACAAGGGCCTGATATAATTGATGCCAGGGCCCAGTACCAGGCTGCAGCCTGGCGGTTGAGAAACACTGGATTGGGTTATTTTGGATCATCACTGTGAGTTTCAACATAACAGATCAACTACTGATCATGTTACTGCATTTATCAGACACTGGAGAAAAAGAATGGGAGCACAATGAGACAGTACATCAGCTATTAATACACTTCAAGAAAGTGTCTGATTCAATTAGGAGGGAAGAGTTGTACAATATTCTCATAATGTTTTGGGGTACCCATGAAACTAGTTAGGTTAATTAAAATGTGTTTAAAAGAAACGTATAGTAAAGCCCGTATAGGTAAATATTTGTCTGACAATTTTCCTCTCCAAAATGGTCTAAAACAAGGAAATGCTTTATTGCCATTACTTATCAACTTTGCTTTACAATATGCCATTAGGAAGGTCCAGGAAAACCAGGTGGGACTGAAATTAAATGTGACATCTTAGCTGTTTGTCTATGCTGATGATATAAATTTACTAGGAGATAACAAGATACCATAAAGAAAAACAGATAAACTTTAATTGGTGCTAGTAAGGTGGTTGGTCTTGAAGTCAATGCAGAGAAAACTAAGTATACATTGATGTCCGTGCACAAGAATGCATGGCAAAATCATAATGTGCAGTTCAA